CATGGCTCACACGGACATGGAGGCGACGAAAGAATGCCCTGTGTTGGAGCAGAGAGAATGAGGAAGAACAAGGAGAATGATAGGAATCGGTGAAGGCCAGAAGCAGCCCTGGAAGGCAGGAGCTTCCAAGACCCAGGCTTTATCTTAGGGGTGGTCAGGAGCCATGGAAAGGCTTTGTGCAGGAAGAGAGCGTGAGCACGGCTGCGTTACCAAAAGATCCCTTCGCGAATGAAGACCATGTTTTCCAGAACAGGGTCCACACTAAGTAGCTTAAATTCCGAATGTTCCTAATCTCTCCTTTGTCAGTGAAGCAAGGGACATAAATAGAAGTTCACGATCATGGCTGTAATGTCATCCTAGTTCCAAGAAGCCCACCCAGTGGCCACGCAGCTGCATCTTGCAGCTCCTTGGGATAGATGCCAGTGCCAAGAGCAGCTCAGAAAAAGGAAACACAAATTAACTCTGGCAGCTATTTGGCTCATTTTTCAGAATCCATCTTATAAAGCAGCATTTTCCAGTAGCCAAAGAGGATGCAAATGCTCACAACTGGCAAAAAATCACCGCGGGAGCTAGAGCAACCATGCCCTGCTTAGCAGCACTGCCCCTTGAATATTTGTGTGCGTGTGTATGTGTGTGTGCTATGCCTGCAGAGGAACATCTGTGTTTACATCAGGGAATGTCAAAGAGGCATAAGAGAGAAATGGCAAAGTTGATTAAAGAGGTAGAATCGGAGTTTGATGTGGCATTCAATAGCAAAAAGGAGGCCAACCCACATGACCGGGAGCTACGACATGGGTAAACGCACTGGAGTGAAAATAAAAACCAACTTCGATAATAAAGAAAAATCTATGCATTTTGGCCGAACATGTATATGCCTGGTGTGTCGCGTTTTCTCACCCGCTACACCTACTGCCTGTTTCGAAAAATAACAAGGAAGCATGGCATGGGGAGACAGATGAGCAGTGCCAGGAGATTGTTTTTTCAGATTTGTTATTTTTCTGGGTGTATCTCAATTGCTTTAACTCCTTAACACAATGTAAAGTATAAGTATCTAAGGTAGAAAGTTGGAGATGAATGATTTGGCAAACGCATTAGAGAAAACCACTCCTTCTCACTCCCCCCACTCAGGTTGCTATAGGAGTATGTCTAAGGGGTACCTGGGTGGCTCAGTGGCTAAGCATCTGCCTTTGGCTCAGGGCGTGATCCCAGGGCCCTGGGATCGAATCCCGCATTGGGCTCCTCACAAGGAGGCTGCTTCTCCCTCTGCCTGTGTCTCTGCCCCCCCCCCCCCCGCCTCCGTGTCTTTCATGGATAAGTAAAATCTAAAAACTAAAAAAACAAGCAAACAAAAAAGGGGAGAATGTCAAAGTACTAAGTCCATATTTTTATATATTACCATAAAATGAGTCTTTCTAGCAGCACCCCCTGGGTGGCTCAGTTAAAGTGTCTGCCTTCAGCTCAGGTCATGATCCTGGAGTCCCAGGGATCCATGCCCATGTTGGGCTCTCTGCAGACAAAGGAGCCTCTCTCTGCCCCTCCTTGTCCACCTGGCTTCTCTCTAAATTATTTTTTTTTTAAAGAGCCTTTCTATACATGAAGCCATAAAAGGAAAAGTTGATTGACTTGACTACATAAAATTGTATACAATTTAAGAGTGATAAGCAAATTTGACAAAAATAGGGAAATAAAAACTATTTTTAAAAAAATTTATTAAATAAATAAATAAATAAATAGAAGAGAGAGAGAGAGAGAGAGAGAGAGAGAGAGAGAGAGAGAGGGGCAGAGTCACAGGCAGAGGGAGAAGCAGGCTCCATGCAGGGAGCCTGGCGTGGGACTCGATCCCGGGTCTCCAGGATCATGCCCCAGGCTGCAGGTGGTGCTAAACCACTGTGCCACCGGGGCTGCCCTAAAGTCTATTTTTAAAATATTTTATTAATTTATTCATGAGAGACACAAAGAGGGAGAGATAGAGGGAGAAGTAGGCTCCCAAAGGGGATCCCCATGGGGGACTTGATCCCAGGACGCTGGGATCATGACCTAAGCTGAAGGCAGAAACTCAACCACTGAGCCACCTGGGTGCCTCCCCCCCAAAAAAAACAAAACTATTAAGTTATGATAGAAGATTTTACTTAATTTTGCTCATGTAAGTTTTTAACAGTATCATTTCATTTGGGACTATTATACATACCTCTCAACAGTACTACAAAAATAAAGGGCATTAAGTATAGTTAGCTTGGAAAAGTAAAGGAGAGGGGAATCTTATTTACTCATTCAGCTTCATGAGTGTAGAACTCAGGCAACAGTACAGGTCCCAAGCTTAGAAGATGCCTATTGGTTTAACACTATGCTGTGATGGTCTTGATATTTCTAACATTTCTAATGTTTCTAACATACACACATTCATTGATTTATTTAATTTTTGGATAAAAGGAGCCCTGAATTTTCACTTGTCTTTGGGCTCTGAGAACCATGCACTGGTCCCTCCTTACTGTATATAAATTATCTACAAAATCAGTTTTGTGCCAAAGAATAACAAGATGCTTAAGAAAGGTTTACAGCCTAGAAGTAAGTTTAGCAGTTAAGTTGTAGTAAAATAAAAATTGAGACACACAGTAGAGATGAAGTTCACACAAGGGAAACGTTACTTCTTGGTGGAATGAGGTTACTAGTGATGCAAGGGGCGGCTTTTGGTAGGATCGTAAAAATAAAATTTGAACACTGATGGAAGAGAAATAAAGGTGTAGGGACATTGGCAGGGAGTTTTATTAAAGCACAGGGGCTGAGGGACTGGCTGAGCACAGGGAACTTTTGGGTTTTCCAGGACAAGAAGCCTCCAAGCTGGACAAGCAGGCTCAAGTGGCTTTGGGAGCCTCTTGGATGTCCAGCCAACAAGGCTGTGCATAATTCAAGAGCAGTTGGGAGCCACGGAAGAGTTAGAGAGAACCAGGTAACCACAGTCTTCATTTAGGACGATGAAGGCTGACCCCAGGCCATGCTGTCACCTTGTCACCTCTCCAGGCTCCCAGCCCAGTGCGGCCTTCACAAAGGATGTGGCCGGAGGGACAGTGACAGTCTATGTTTACATCCCCTTCAACCAGTTGGACTTCACCTGCTCTAAGCTGGCCAACTAGGCATGTTCCCACACCCTGGAGAACCAACTTTTATTGTTCAAGGTTTGAACTGTCAGAGCAGAACAAATGTACGTGGCTCTGAAAATACAACCAAAATGGAAATACACACATGCTCAATTAGATCACAGTGAGACTTCATGGCCTCAACTAGGGGCTCTGGAAAGGTTTCTGTGTGTCATGGGAGCACGTGTGGATGCTTATTCCATTTTCTGGAGAAAACAAAACTATGGAAGCTGAAACCTACACCCCAAGTGCCCAATGCTTAGGTACATGACACACCTAACAGGCTCTGCCCTACAGGCTAGAATTTTATCAGTTACCAGCTGGGATCTTTGGCTATTAGGCTGCATCTGAAGAAATCCGTGACTTGCACTTTAAATTTGCATTTTTAAGTTTTTTATTTCTTCAGCCTATTGCTCTCTATTCTCTTTCTATTCCCTCAGACACATACCAACATACAGATCCACATACACACGCAGACCTATACACAAACATGGATACATGCACAGCACCTGAATAATTCCCTTGCAAACTATACTAGTAAACTCCAAACAGCAATTGACATTTCTACTTCTAAATGTTTCATCTAGTCACGTTCCAGGAAAATCCCAACCCCTTACTGATAAATGAAAATATAGCTATTATTACTTGACCTCAAATTATGATTTTAAATTTATTTTATTTTATATATTTATGATAGGCACACAGTGAGAGAGAGAGAGGCAGAGACACAGACAGAGGGAGAAGCAGGCTCCATGCACTGGGAGCCCGAAGTGGGATCCGATCCCGGGTCTCCAGGATCGCGCCCTGGGCCAAAGGCAGGCGCCAAACTACTGCGCCACCCAGGTATTCCTCAAATTATGATTTTATTGTCCCTTCAAGCAGGAATTTAAAGAAAAAAAATGTGGAAATGAAAAATATATAAACAATGAATCAGAAAATAAGCTACATAAAATCAAGCCTTAAACCTGTGTAAGAAAATGTAACAGGCGTGTGTCATGATGTCTCACTGAAACAAGAGGGCATTTTGATTTTTTAGCTCCAATGAAACCATTTCTTCACACACGCACACACACACACACACACACACACACACAAATATGTATAGAGAGAAAAAGCCCATTTAACATTCTAGCTCTGAAAAACGAGACCTTAACTGACACTACACTACCTTTTAACTACTAGTGTATATCACTACTTAAGGATGGTTCAATTTTCAAAAGAAAAATACAAAATATTTATTGGAGGGGGGGAAAGTTGTCAATATTCTTTTTAATGATAAAATAACATATTTTCTTTAAGCTCAGAGACAAAGGCAGGCATTTGAGGAAATATCAGTGTAATCTTAAGAAATGAAAAGCTGTTTCTTTTATTCCAATTTCCATGCTAGACTGAATTATGATAATACACACTATCAAGAAAAGCTTTTGATATTTCAGAACTGTGACATAAAACAAATTTAATTTGGGACATTAAGCCCAGGATTAAAGGATAATGAGCTTGGTCTTGGCACTCTTCCATCTTTGTGATCTGACCTTTAACAGGGAGTCTTACCCAAGAGAGGATTCAGTCAGAAGCGGTACCTCAGACATATTAACTGATAAATAGTGAGGGATGGACTCGACATACCATTTTGTTCAAGCAAATTCTTGGTTTCTCTGAGCCTTGCTCCTCCACAAGAAGATGTTCAATGAAACACTCAAGTTCTGACTTAATCATGGAAATGGGTACCAGAAACAGAGAGAAGCCAGGCCAAAGCCTTGTGCTTCCACAAACTTGTAGGAGATTCAGCCCAAGAGGGGTGCGAGTCAAAGAAGAGGGTTGAATGGGCAATTAGCACCCCCGGCAGAAGAAATGAGAGCATCCTACCTTTTTAAAAATTCCATATACTCGGTATGCTTGATGAGTCCTGTCCTCATCATGATGGTTTGGAAACATTGTCGATCGATGGCCCAGAGTTTCACATTTACAAGAGCTGGAGAAGAGAAAAAGGAAACAGGGGAAAAAAAAAAAGTTAGACCATTTCAGCTGTGAACCACATCATGCAGGAGAGACGAGGGATCCAGGAGAGGTATGGAAATGATCAACCTTCATTTACAGCTGATACCATCATGCTATCTTGTTTCGTGAAGGCGACAGGTATTCTTACAGGCGAGATGTAGTTCATAATTTTCCACTTAGTATTATTGCCTAACAGGAAGATTCTCATCGCTCTTCTGTCCTGAAGGGATGGGAATGCCTCAGTACCCACTGAACAAATTTAGTACTTTCAAGACTATCGGTAGAATTAAAAAAAAAAAAAAAAGTCACAGAGAAAAAGAACGATTCACAATTAATAACACTCCTTAGTAATTACCCAGAATGGTGTTAAGGACTTAAATGATCCTGTTTTAATTGTAAAAAGTAGAGGTGAAAACTCCATCTTCAGGCTTCAGGCTGAATTCCATATAATAGAAATGATAATTGCCCAAGGATTTCTACACGAGACTCCTTTTTACAAACTAACCTGTGCCCAAAGTTGTCCCGTGAAGTTAGACTAGGTATGTTTGTTGAGTTTTAATTTCTAGTCTTACATACCACAGTCTTTGACAAGGAACAATAGTGTTGAAACTGAGCACCACAGAAGTCCACCACTTGATCTATTAAGCACACGACTAAGAGACAAGTTTTGGGGAAAGATGCTATAGGGTAACAATGATTTAAGATCTGCTTAGGTTTTCAAAGGACACACCAAAAATCTCCGTGACTGAATCTGTGATGGACATCCAAGACGCTCCTTGTACTATGCTCTCCATTTTTATGTCTTTTTGCAGATTTTCACAATAGAGAACATTTTAAGTGGGCACACAAATGAAGCAAGCCAATCGGCAGACTGTACCCACGGAGAAGAGGGTAAAGGGACTATGCAGGGGCTGGTGCAAGACAAGCTAGTAGAGACGGTTTATGGTTTAATGAGCCAAACATGGAAAGACTGAAGAGGACAATTCTCTCAACTAAGTCCGCTGGATGTAATGGATTGAGGTACGGGGGTACGGGACAGGGGCACATGGTACTAGGCTGCAGGTGCACCACGCGGGGAGGGACCACGAGTGACAGCAGTGGAGGGAAAGAGGAGGGAGGGACTAGGCGTTCTAGAGTAAACCCCTATCTTTGTTCCCTAATTTTTCCTTGCAAAATTCTTCAAAGCTAAGAAACTAGAACACGACTTCCCCCTTGGTCTGCTCTTTGTTGGATGAGAGAAAAAAAAAAAAAAGGTGCTCAGTTAATGAGAAAATGAACAAAGCAGCAAAGGCTGGTGCACACATGGCTCCGTTCCAAGTATCTTTTGAAAAATGAACTATCCTCAAAAACGAGCACAGATGTTCTCCAGCCACATTCTAGTTCCTCTGCGGAATCCAGGCTCCTTTCCAGAACACCTGTTTACTTGAGACAAACCCTAGGACTGGAGGACAGGACCACAAAGGACTGCCAGTTCAGGAAGAGATTCACAAGGAGGAGAGGCTTTTAAAATGGACAGGAGCTGAGCTAGGAGAGAGCTTGAGGGTTGGGGGAAATCTGTTGGGGAGAGCCCAAGAGCAGGGCTGGAAGGGGGCTGGGGTTGGGGGAGAGGGGAGTCCAGGCAGGGATACCACAGTACCCAAAGGCTGAGACCCTGCAGGGTCGTTGTAGAATTGCTGCAGGTGCCTTGAAGCCAGGCAGAGGAAGCAGGGATTCACGTATGAGCAACAAAAAGCTACTAGAATCTTAAAGACAAAAGAAAAAAAAAAAACAATTTAAGAATATACCATAAAGATTTTGAATGCTTACAAGACAAAAAAAAAAATTCGGTATCCATCATCATTCTTATCAGTTCCTAGGTATTTCCAGACTACAAAGTCTTCCTCCAAAGGATGAATTAGGATACACCAACCATTTTTGTCCTAAAAACAGTGGCAATGAAGACAGTTGTACTATTAAATATATACATACTGCACTGAACCCCAAGTACTCCTTAGAAGCAGAATGTTGGGGCGGGGGGTAGGGTCCCAGGGTGGCTCAGCAGTTTAGCACCTGCCTTCAGCCCAGGGCATCATCCTGGAGACCCAGGGTCAAGTCCCACATGGGCTCCCTGCATGGAGCCTGCTTCTCCCTCTGTCTCTGCCTCTCTAATAATTTTTAAAGCAGAATGTCAAAGGGAAGTCAAGCACACATACAGGTGAAGGCTGTGCCCTGCAGGCCACAGAGCATACTCCCAACTGCAGTATGTAAAGGTTTCTATTACAGGCTCTTAAACAGAGATGATCAGTGAGAGCTGATAAAGACCAATCGAGGAGGGGCAGAAGTTGGATTCAGAGGCACCCAGATCTAGCAGAAAGCAGACCAACACGGCCACTGTCAAATAACATTCATGTAAAGACCAGAGGGCAGAGTGGGAATAGGATGGGAAGCCAAAAAAAAAAAAAAGGTCCTGGTAACCCCTTGTGTGCAGTTGTGCAGTTTCACAGGAGAAGTAGCAAGCAGAGACCATGGTACTTGGAGTCCAGTGAGGAGGGTCAGGGGCGTGTGACACATGCATGTGCTGATGTGTTGGGACCAACTTATCTGCAACCTTTTCAGTCCGAGTTCACCCTTGGAGGCCAGGCTCTCGTCCCGTCTCCTGAGCCAGCTCTCTGCCCCGTGTCACTATCTGTAGCACGTTACCAATATTGGTCATGGTCTCTCCTATGCCTGGATCTGGTTCCCTCAAGTAAGTTTGTACATTCCCCCCAGAGAAAAGTCCAGGTCTCGCTTCTTAGGACTTCTCCCCAGTGAAGAAATTAGCTTTCCATTTGATAAGCATCAGGTCTATCGGTTAATATAATTTATGCACACAAAGTTCACCTCCCCCCCCTCCCAAAAAAAAGTAAACCTAGGTAGACTCTAAAGTTACATTAAAATATCTAAATTTATTCATCAGGACTCATGACCCATGTATTAAAAAATTAGCTCTAAGTTCACAGAGTCAAATGTTTTCATTTTATCTTCTGACTCCCACTTACATGGGCTATTGGAAGGTCTCTAAGTAAAAAATGGTTTCAGATATTTTGCAAGATAATGAACATGGCTTGAGGATATTGCAAATTTGTCCATGACCTTGGGCAACATGCCCAAACCTCCTCTGTAGTCAGCCAACATACCTATTAGTCAAGTCAGCATTTCACAGGTGGGCAAGCGTGACTAATAATCACCTTGCCTTGTTTTCGAGAACGTGGTTATATTCGAGTTGTGATGAACACCTTCCTTCAACAGCCAGCTGGAGTGGAAGTCAGGCTCTTCCGTAACTTACAGACCATTCAAAAAAAAAATTTTTTTTTAATTTTCCATGTACCTTTGATTTTTAAGGGGTATATTAACCTCTGTAGGCAATAAGCACTTGAGCAAGTTCCTGTGATTTTCACCGTGATTATGCTTGCTGAACACTTAAGTCTCAAAGGCTGAAGGCATAGTAGGTGTGGGGAATGGATCTTTTTGTGCAAGTACGTATCTAAAATTCTCTGCTGAGCCAGTGATCATTTCTTCAGTTTCAGGCCACACTGAGCTCAGAGGAAAACAGGCCAATCCCCATTCCTCTGAGATCTCTACCTGCAGGAGCACATCAAGAACGCCTTCAACATAGGCCTTGATCACAAACCTGGGCTTGGCTTCAATTCTATTGGGGAATCTACCCACCACGCAATTCAAATTTTGGACAAATACTGAGAAAGGATGTGTGGGTATAAAACAAAAACTCAAATATTTATTCACCTCATATTTATTTTATACCAACCTAGCCTACACCGGTGCTAGATGTAAAGGATAGAAAACAAATGCATCCCTCCTGTTTCCACAACGTGTGATCTAGAGGCCAACAAACTATCGTCCATGCCAGAGCAGGCCTGTGGTCAGTTTTTATATGGCAGGCTAGCTATGAATGGGTTTTTTATTTTTAAATGGCTGAAAATTTTAAGAAAAATATTTCATGACACATGAGAAGTACATGAAACAAGTTTCAGTGCCCATAAAACATCTGATTGGAACACAGTCATGCCCATTTGTTTCCATGTTGTGTCTGGCTGAATTGAAGAGTTTTGACAGAGACTATCTGGCCCTTTACAGAAAACACTTGTCACCTCTTTGTCTCCTATAATAGAAGAACAAATCAAGAGTGAGTGTCAGCAGGGGGGCGGTGGAGGGAAGTATCAGGGCTGTGAGTACACAGTTAAGGCCTCCCAGGCTCCCCTATTTCTTGTCGGGAAAGGTGGATTCGAGGCTTTGCAGAAGACAATCTTCTTCTGCAGGTTCTTCACCTGGCTCCAGGGGCTGAATAGGTGCCCAAATTTGAAAGTTAAAAGCTTAATCCCCATTGTGATGGCACTTTAAGATAGGGCCTAGGGGAGGTACAGAAGTTCCATTAACCATTCCAATGGGGCAGGGTTGTTGGGGGTGGATTTCCCACACCAACAAGCAATCCTCAAGACACCAGTTTGATGCTCTGCAATTCAACTCAATTCTGACACTATATACCCGGACACAGCATCAGACTCTGAAGTGAAGGCTCACCCTTGAAAGACGGCCTCCCCTCCACCTCCTCCCTTCAGAGGCCAGTCCATAAACCCTGCATTTGTCAATAAAGATGTGGGGAGATTTAAACACCATTAAACGTTTAAGTAAGTGCAAATCAAAACCACAATGAGATACCCACTTCATAGCCATTATGGTGGCTATCCTTAAGAAATAAATAGTAAGTGTCGGCAAAGATGTGAACAAATTAGAACTCTCCCGAATTGTTGGTGGGAATGGTAAATGGTGGAGACACATTTGAAAATGGTTGCGCGGTTCCTTAAAAAAAAAAAAAAAAAAAAAAAAAAAAAAAATTTCAACCTAGACTTAGCACAGGATCCAGCAATCCTACTTCTCTGGATACATACCCAAAGTAATTGAAAGCAGATCCAAGAAGAGTTATTTGTACACTAAGGT